ACAGGTACTAACCAATCTGCCTCCGCCGTACCCAAGCCACTAGGCATGCACTGCTTGCTCGCCCTTGTCCAGTGCAAGGTCGGCTGACTGTATCAACACTACCCCTTCCCCCCTGCAGGAGGCTGAAGAGGATCAGGAACGCCACCAGGATAAACTCGATGCGGTTCCCAGACACGGACTACTTTGAAAGCGGAGCCTGTGTCGCCGCATTCGAACACAGGGCGGTCATGCAGGTAGTACTTTTACAGCTACGCCCTCCCCCCTGTCGTTTGCCCTCCCAGCCTGATTTTCACCTACGGATCTTCTAAGTTTCCTCAAATGCACACTCCCAACCAAGCCGTAGACCGTTATGCTCATGGCAATCCGCCTTTCCCCACCCTAAAACTTGCTCCGGTCACGTTCTCCTTTTGTTTCTGCTACCTGGATGTCCTGGGCTGCGCCCTCCATCCGTTTTAGCATCATACCTTCGGTTTTTCCCGACACACGCGATGTCATGTACATCCCATTGCCCTGCCCATTGTTCGCCGCCCCACTTCTCCCTGACCCTCTTTCTCCTTCCTCCCATGCCATTGTTGTGGCGCTGCCTCCCGTCCATCTCCCCATGCCCTTCGCGGTTCCCTTCCCTGCCTCATGCCGGATGGCCCGGAGCAGGTTCTCATCTTCATCGTTGCAGATGTTTTGGATGCGAAGCAGCTGGAGGCGATACGGGCGTACCTTGATTGGTACATTGCGTGTGCTGCCCCATCGCACACAGAACACAGCCTGCGCGAGCTTGATCGCCTCTCTATCAGGCAGGGCACCTTCTCTGTCCTTGGTGGCTTATGTTGGTTATGCTAGTGTGTGTGACTCACTTCAGCGATCTCCGTCTGATCCTGCCCTGCCTGTGTCATGAACTGTTACGTTGCAGGCTCGTGAAGCTGCTGACGAATGCTTTTCCACAGCAGGCTTCAAAGTGGAACCTCATCAAAACTCATTTGATGACGCACTTTGTGCCGGCCATTCGAAGGGCCGGTTATGTGCAAGAGTACTGCACAAATCTCTTTGAGCACCTGCACGGGCCCTTGCTGAAGCAGATATACCGCCGGTCGAACAAGAGGAACGTTGATGTCCAGATTATCATGCACCACATGAGGAGGCTGGATCTGTGGGAGGAGGATGAGCCGGACCATGGCCGCGACACCGCCATGCAAAAGGTACGACGCGTGCACATCGCCCCCGACCCTTCGCATCCTCCCATCGTCTCGTGCCGTGCAATTGAGACAACTGTTCATCCTCGTGGCAGGCCATCGAAGAGGGGAACCGTGTGATGACAAAGGACTCTCACTTCTTCCCGGTGGATCCTGAGGGGGCCACAGAGTCGTCGAACAAGTTTCTGAAGCTGTGGAGCGCCCAGTACCCAGAGGCCTATGCCGAGTTCGCTGGTGCTCTGCGGCGTTTCAAGATGAAGGTGTCAAAGGTCCGGGTAAGTAACTATTATCCACCCGTGCTAATGGCCTGCTGTGCACGGTCAAAGGTGTCAAAGGTGTCAAAGGCATAGCTACCAAGACAGGCACTTCTGGCAAGGTAGGCACTGCTGCCAAGCTAGGCACTGCTACCAAGCTAGCCTCTGCTACCAACCTAGGCACTGCTGCCAAGCCAAGCACTTCTGGCAAGCCACGCACTGCTGCCAAGCTAGGCACTGCTGCCAAGCTAGGCACTGCTGCCAAGCTTTGCAATGCTGCCAAGCTAGGCACTGCTGCCAAGCTATGCAATGCTGCCAAGCTAGGTACTGATGCCAAGCTAGTTACTGCTGCCAGGATAGCCACTGCTGCCAAGCTAGCCACTGCTGCCAAGCTAGCCACTGCTGCCAAGCTACGCACTGCTGCCAAGCTAGCCACTGCTGCCAAGCTAGCCACTGCTGCCAAGCTAGCCACTGCTGCCAAGCTAGCCACTGCTGCCAAGCTATGCACTGCTACCAAGCTAGCCACTGCTACCAACCTAGGCACTGCTGCCAAGCTAGGCACTGCTGCCAAGCCACGCACTGCTGCCAAGCCACGCACTGCTGGCAAGCCACGCACTGCTGCCAAGCTAAGCACTGCTGCAAATCTAGCCACTGTTACCTAGCTGGGCACTGCTACCTAGCTAGGCACTGCTACCTAGCTAGGCACTGTTACCTAACTAAGCACTGCTACCTAGCTAGGCACTGCTGCCAAGCCAGGTACTGCTGCCAAGCTAGGCACTGCTACCAAGACAGGCACTGCTGCCAAGCTAGGCACTGCTGCCAAGCTAGGCAATGCTGCCAAGCTATGCAATGCTGCCAAGCTAGCAACTGCTGCCAAGCTAGCCACTGCTGCCAAGCTAGCCACTGCTGCCAAGCTAGCCTCTGCTGGCAAGGTAGGCACTGCTGGCAAGGTAGGCACTGCTGCCAAGCTAGGCACTGGTGCCAAGCTAGCCACTGCTACCAAGCTAGCCTCTGCTACTGACGTAGGCACTGCTGCCAAGCTATGCACTGCTGCCCATCTATGCAACGCTGCCAAGCTAGGCACTGCTGCCAAGCTATGCAGTGCTGCCAAGCTAGCCAATGCTACCAACCTAGGCACTGCTGCCAAGCTAGGCACTGCTGCCAAGCTATGCCCTGCTGCCAAGCTAGCCACTGCTACCAAGCGATCCACTGCTACCAACCTAGGCACTGCTGCCAAGCTAGGCACTGCTGCCAAGCTAGGCACTGGTGCCAAGCTAGCCACTGCTACCAAGCTAGCCTCTGCTACTGACGTAGGCACTGCTGCCAAGCTATGCACTGCTGCCCATCTATGCAATGCTGCCAAGCTAGGCACTGCTGCCAAGCTAGCCACTGCTGCCAAGCTAGCCACTGCTGCCAAGCTAGCCTCTGCTGGCAAGGTAGGCACTGCTGCCAAGCAAGGCACTGCTGCCAAGCTAGGCACTGGTGCCAAGCTAGCCACCGCTACCAAGCTAGCCTCTGCTACTGACGTAGGCACTGCTGCCAAGCTATGCACTGCTGCCCATCTATGCAACGCTGCCAAGCTAGGCACTGCTGCCAAGCTATGCAGTGCTGCCAAGCTAGCCAATGCTACCAACCTAGGCACTGCTGCCAAGCTAGGCACTGCTGCCAAGCTATGCCCTGCTGCCAAGCTATGCACTGCTGCCAAGCTAGCCACTACTACCAAGCGATCCACTGCTACCAACCTAGGCACTGCTGCCAAGCTAGCCACTGCTGCCAAGATAGCCACTGCTGCCAAGCTAGCCACTGCTGCCAAGCTAGCCACTGCTACCAAGCTAGCCACTGCTACCAACCTAGGCACTGCTGCCAAGCTAGGCACTGCTGCCAAGCCACGCACTGCTGCCAAGCTATGCAATGCTGCCAAGCTAGGCACCCCCCTACCTCCCCCTAATTTCCACCCACCAGCCACAGCCCGCCTTACAGCCAGCTTCCCCCCGCCTCCACCCCCCTACCTCCCCCTAATTTCCTCCCAACAGCCACAGCCCGCCTTACAGCCAGCTTCCACCCGCCGTAAACCCCCTACCTCCCCCCAATGTCCTCCCAACAGCCACAGCCCGCCTTTCAGCCAGCTTCCACCCGCCCTAAACCCCCTACCTACCTCCCCCCAATGTCCTCCCACCAGCCACAGCCCGCCTTACAGACAGCTTCCCCCTGCCTCCAGCCCCCTACCTTCCCCTAATTTCCTCCCACCAGCCACAGCCCGCCTTACAGCCAGCTTCCCCCCGCCTCCACCCCCCTACCTCCCCCTAATTTCCTCCCACCAGCCACAGCCCGCCTTACAGCCAGCCCCCCCACTCTCCAATCCCTGTTCCTCCCCCTTGTTTCCTCATACCAGCCATAGCCCGCCTTGCAGCCAGCTTCCCCCCGGCCTCCACCCCCCTTCCTCCCCCTAATTTCCGCCCCCAGCCACAGCCTAACCTACAGCCTGACACCCCCCCCCCCGCCTTGAACTTCCTCCTCCCTGTTCCCTCCATGCACCACCCAGGTTGAGCTGGCTCATACTCATCCCTTCCCACAACCATAAGCCAGCTCGGCCAAGATTCTTTCATTCCACATTGATCCCCCATCTCCTGCTCACCTCAACACCGCTTGCTCCTTCCCCTTGTCTCTGCTTGGTCACAGGCTCACACCACCTTGGCCATTCCGGCGGCAGAAGGACCGTGCTTTTCACGCACTGCCCATTTTGTGAAGGCGACACCGGATTCGTATTCGAAGCCATGGTTCTCGGATGTGGCAATCAGAGGGGCAACACAGGATGGGCGAGACACTGAGTGGTATGGGAAGCTGCTACTTTTATTCCATGCCAAAAGCAGAGGCGTGAGGAAGGAGCTGGCATATGTCAAGTACTGGTCCAGGACGGGGGAGGATGCAAAAACGGGATGCACTCGCCTCTCATGGGCCACAGGGGTCTCAAGGTACTCAGTGATTGACATCGAGTCAATCTACAGAGAGGTGCATGTTGTCAAGTCGTTTCATAGCGAGACTGCATACTTGGTTAATAGGTACCACATTCAGTAGCAATGTCACAAGCATTTTGAAGTGGCTCACTTTCTGTATGCTTTGATTGTAATAATTATTCGTCCACTTCGATTTCTCTTTTAACACGATTCAAATATAATAAATTGCAACACAAACTTGGAATTGACTAATCCAGGGCTCGAATCAGTCCTAAAACAGAGAAATATTGGAGCCCTAAAATGAGTCTGAATTTCGTCCCAGGCGACTCGAATTTCGTCAACGCAAAGTGCGGTGCGGTGCCCTGGAAAGTCGCGCGCCCTCGAAATTCGATGCGATTTGGATGCGCCACGGGTATTCGCCTCAGGCTGGTCGAAACTGGCTCGAGTCGCGACGAATCACATTTCCGAAACCAGGCCACGCAACCCAACCTCACAGCGACGAAACCAACAAATCCCGCACCCCTCGCCTTGCGACACTTTTCGCGAGAGGTTGGACGAAATTTGCGCAGCCCCCCCTCGAACCCAACTTCCGAAGCCAACTTTTGACCCCATCCCCCCAAAATCAAAACGAGCCTTTTTTGTGATGCTGCGGAGTCGATCGCAGACACGGAGGCGTTGGAGCTGGACATCGTCCCCACGCAGCAGCAACTGGACTCGGCTAACGAGCTCGTTGCCGAACAGACCCTCATCGCCAAGGAGGCCACCGCCGATTCCACCTACTACGCGCGCCGCGCCGCGAAGCTCAAGACGCCCGAGGCGCAGGCGGCGGCCGTCGAAGCGCAGGCGATCCGCGCGCAGGCGAATCGTATCCTGGGCGCGCTTAAGAGGCAGGCCGCGCTCGCGAAGGATGCCCTGGAGGCGATGCAGTACGATCTGGCCACCGCGCGGAAGGACAAGATCGACACGAGGATCGCCGCGGACGCGCACAACGTTGACCTGAACAAGGCGAAGAAGGACGCGAAGGATGCGGAGGGGGTGTACTACAAATACGTGGGCGACACGAAGACGCTTCCGAATGCGATCAAGACGCTCATGGCCGACGTTCAGGTGAAGACGACAGCCGCGGCGAAGGTGACGAAAGACAACAAGGCCCCGCTTGGGGTGGCCGCCAGCATTCGCGCGGCGGCCGAGACCAAGTTCAATCAGGCCAAGGCGCGTTCTGATTCGCTCAAAGCAGCTGCGGATCAGGCGGACGTGGAATCCGCGGCGTACGACAAGGCGCACTCCGTCAACTGGAATAACGGCAACGGCAACGGCAACGGCAACGGCAAGGGCAACACTGGCACCACCGGCACCACCGGCACCACCGGCACCACCGGCAACACCGGCAACACGGGCACCACCGGCAACACCAGCACCACCGGCACCACCGGCAACACCGGCACTACCGGCACCACCAGCAACACCGGCACCACCGGCACCACCGGCACCACCAGCAACACAGGCACCACCGGCACCACCGGCACCACCGGCACCACCCACACCACCGGCACCACCGGCACCACCGGCACCACCGGCACCACCGGCACCACCGGCACCACCGGCACCACCGGCACCACCGGCACCACCGGCACCACCGGCAGCACTGGCAGCACCGGCAACGGCAAACCGAAATAAGTACTAGTCGTTCATGCGACGCGGCGGCAAGGCTATACGCGTGTTCTTCCGCCGTCTGATCATCCGGTTTTTTCCCCCGCATCGTAGAAATACGTCGTCCAAAATGTGTCCGAAAATTGTCTCGACGACAATGTGCCCAAGAAGGAGTCCCCCCGAAGCGGCGGAACTTTCCGACCTAGGAAATGCCTTCTGGAGCTTTTCAACGCTCGCCGTCTCGGGGAGATGCATGGTTATTAGGCCACAAACTGTGCACTAAGGAATAAAGGCACTGTGTAACGCGTTCTTGAGTGGGCTTTCTGATTCTAATATGTCCTGGGAAACTGCAACCGAGTGTCGCGTCCTAAAGGCTAAGGGCGTATCACTAATGTTTGTTCCCCAATCAACACCGTGCTCAGTTACCGATTTCTGGTGTGTAACCATAAAACACGCCCGAATAAGACCCGCCCAGCTCTTACCCAAAATTAGCGGACACCATTCCAACGTTTCCAGGTACCTCCACAGGACAAAAATGGACCGCACAAAAATCCCATTCGCCAACCAATACCAGCACCACCTGTAGCGAAATTTGTGCGCGAAACTTTGCAGCCTTGCACGTCGCTAGCGAACAAACTTCCCCCCCTGCGCCGACTGGCCCCTTTCTTGTTATACGCCCTTGTTGCGCTGGTTTCGCATCGCGGGATTCCGTGACCCGCCTCTATGTCTGTGCTGGTCTTTGTGCTGTCCTTCCGAACCACACCCTGCATTTCGGACTTGTTCCCAAAGCGGGATCGGTTTCAAAATCGATTCATAATGCTTACCTTCAAACGACTCCACGTGTTAGAAACGGGTTCTCGATTTTGTGACACGCCCTTAGCAAATATGCGAGCTCGCCTGTCGACCAACCCCCCCGCCTCGGAAGATTTTGTAAACTTGGTGTGCTCGGGTTGGGTTGGGTGGAATCTGGTGGATATTTCCGTGTCACGAACAAAAGGTTCCCCTCCCCGCGGTTCGGTACCAGTGACATTGCCATGAAATGTTCGCAAATCTTTGGAAAGTCGGACCGCACACAAATTGTCGTTCCTAGCTGTTGAGGAAAAGAGGAAATGCTATGAATTATAACTCAGAGTATAGCGCAGAACACTATGGGGGAAAGTGATTACAGAATGTCGATAGAAATGAGGCCTATGGCTTATATAGTGCGAGTTGACCAGGGTTGAATGTCGAGGTTTGGACCAGTCAAGGGCTCGACAGTCCCGAGGGTGACGGGGTCAAAATGGGTTCGAGGCGACTCGGATCAGGTTGGGGTCGAAAAGGTCGACGGGGGTTGCTTTGGCGCGAGAACCAAGGGCCGAGCCTGCGGAACTGAGAGGTTCGCGTGTACTTGTTGTGGCAAGCCCCAGTAAGGAATCGTAATTCCTTACACTCTCCCTCCTTCTAAAGGAAGGCACTCCCTCTATCGAGGCCGAACGGTCATTACAAGTAATCCCCGATGTGACAGTAAGTCTTCAGCCCTGCGACGAGCGTAATGATTACGCTGGCCTGACAAGGTCTTGAGGTCGAATTGAAATCGTTGGTCAAAAAGCGTCGAAACGATCGCGGTAGATCCCGATCGTTGAATCTTGATTAGCGTAATTATGACGAGACTTCATGATGTAAAACTTCATCCAACGGCTGAGACAAGTCGCAACGATCGTAATCAATCAGAGTCGTTGAAGATGTCGAAATCTTCAACTGGCCAAACGGGCAAGGGTAAATACTCCAGCGGAAGACAATGAACAGTGAAAACCTTGTCGAATGGTCGATTGATGATGGCGCGTGGCAGATGAATATTTTGAAATGACGACTGGCGAATAACGTGATGGTCGATGAAATGAAGAACCCATTCATCAAACGCGAGGTCGTTCGTGTCACATGCGACAGCACACGTTCGTGTCCCACGAAAGTCGGCGAACTCCATCAACGAAGTGACGAAATCAGGCGCGGAAGCGTAAAAGTGACGAATGATGCTCGAAGACGGATGATGGAACACGCCGCAAGGTTTGACGAAAAAATCTAGCACAGCTGCACTTCTCCTCCCTCCAAGAAGAAACAGCTCCCAACCACCCAAGTATAACTCCAGGAAACCCAATGCTCCAGGAAACCAAAAATACCCATACTGCTGCCGAAAATCCCGTCAAACGCAGCTTCAAAGAGTCCGCTCCTTAACTCCAAGCGCGATGAATCCCAAATATATTCCAAATGTGATACTCCTGCAGGGTAAACCGCTCCAAAGGTCTTGAAAATCAGAAGTAACTTCTTTAGAAGACTCCCATATGAACTCAAAAATCTTCAGAAGTCAAATACTGCTTGCGAGCTGGCCCCAACACAGCTCCACAGTACGGCTCCCAATTTCTCTGTAAATCCGATAATGTTGTTTTTGATTCGGATGGCGAGGCGAGCTCGTGTTCACACTGTCTTGCGAAGCACGCGAATTGACGATGGAGGCGGTAGCGAGTAGTGACGAGAGGAAGGCGACGATGGCGATGACATGTAACCTGTACTGAATCACTCCAGTTGAAATCCTCGAACCGAACTCGGGGTCTAATGCCGCCAGCTGCATCAGCTACTTTGTCCGAACACGCCGAAAAAATCGAGAAGTACCGAAACAGCTGCTGCTCTCCCTCCGATCCATACAACCAAAACACTCCGCAAATGTCGATCGATGTGGCTCGTACATCTTGAAGATAGCGGGCACAACTCCAGCTGTAAACTCTTGAACTGCTCCGAAAATGTCGGAACCACTCGGTATTTAGCAAATACCGTAACTCCGCTTCATAGCTACCCGTAAAACACGCAGGCATTACGGCGTCCTTTAGCAGCGCCCCCACGGTTTCTCCACCAGCTGTACGCATGAAAGGCACCCTTTATGTTAGGAAACACCAGAGTTCACCGCCTAGGCATTATGTTTTGGCCATCGATCGGGGTCAACGCGCATCATCCGCCGTCGATTTTCGCCCAGCTGTTACCCAACTCTAAAATACTATGTTACCCTTGTCCAGCTGGCCGTGCAGACGTTCACCTATCTCACGGCTGCTTCAGGTTACCCAAAACCGCTTCGCTGCTGCTTAACTAACTAGGAGAATCCACAGAGATAGGGGTGCGCACGCTTCTAGTCAGAGGAGCTTTAACGAGCTCGCCTACTGATCGCTGGACAGCTCCCCCCTCCATCAGAAACTCGTCAAAATGCACCCGCAAAAGTCGGAACCTCCTCCTGCTGCACCAGTTGAAAACCCTCAGCTCCACTGCAACAGTAACTCTTAAAATTTCGTGGACACTCCATCAGCACAGTGTAGTTTGCAAGTTCACCCCCCTTATTCAGCCAAAAGCTGTCGATTAATAAGTCGACACTGCTACCTGGTGGGAATGGTGATTTCCGAGCGACGTAGCTGAGCGAGTAGCAGCCCGAACGCCGCCAACCCATTTGCTCCAGTGCTCCCGTCGTTCTTCTCCCACTGCTTCAACTCCTGGCAGTTAACGCATTCGGCGACCGGTGGAAAAACACTTAATACACACCCTGAGATGGTGGCCTCCGTTTCCGTTCATCGTGGGGGTATGAATCGTTGGTCCACGAAAAACGCCTCCCCTCGCGGGAAGTCGCCCTCACTAAGTACACTCACTCCAGCACACCGTCATCTCCTCCAGATGGCCGTCGTGGTGAATTGTGCCGAGGTCGTTAATCTCAGCTCCTTCTACACAACTGCGCACCCACACGTCCTTGTGCGATCGTGTCGTTCCGAAATTGTCAGAACCGCTCATTGTCGAAATAGTGTTGAAGTCCCGTCCATCGCCTACTACTAGCCTGTCGGAAACGCTGGGACCCGCGACACAGCTACAGTTCACCCTGCCGCTGCATCGCGTGCCAAACGTACATCGCCGTACATCCCGCCATTTTTGCCATCCCGCGCGCGCCTAACGACCAACTCCTGGCCACCTGAGGACTCCCGTGCACTTGTCTCCTCATGACAAAGCCTTCGCTTTTTTCGGAAGCCAATCCGAAGACTCCGTCCGAACACCCGAAATTTCCGAAAGCTCTAACGAGCATACCCGAAAAACACGGCAAAAATGTCGCCCACTCTTCGACGGGAAATAATTCCGACTACGACTAGAGAAGGGGAGGACCGGCCAATCCCAGCCGTCCATTGGACAGGATCTGACGGCATCAGCAACGCCCGCGCAATTAATTTCCGCAACGTCCGCTCGCCATCAGCATCCTTCCGCCCCTTCCCCGATAGGGTCTTCTCCCGTACCGGAAGCCTAATGCGCAGGAGCGTAGCTCTGATACCAGCTGTTATGAATTATAGCTCAGAGTAAAGCGCATAATACTATAGGGGAACGTGATTACATAATGTCCATAGGAATGAGGCCTAGGGCTTATATAGTGCGAGTTGACCAGGGTTAAATGTCGATGATTGGACCAGTCAAGCGCTTGACAGTCCCGAGGGTGACGGGGTCAAAATGGGTTCGGGGCGGCTCGAGATCAGGTTGGGGCCGAAAAGGTCAACGGGGGCTGGATTGGCGCGAGAACCAAGCGCCAAGCCTGCGGAACCGAGAGGTTCGCGTGTACTCCCTGTGGCGAGCCCCAATAATGAATCGTAATTCCTTACACGAAATACACTTGCCAAACCGTGGTTAGAACATTCTTCTTTCCATCAAGATAAGGTTCATATTTGGCACAACCAAGCCCTCAAAGCCCTCGCTTGCTGTACTACAAATTCCGTTTCTTCTCAGACATATTACTAGGGTGGAAGTGATTGTCATTCATACATACAGGAATCTCATCCTGTACTGGTAAGTTGGCAACGACACCGTGCCATGTCATGTCATAGTACGGTACCAAGATGCTGTCCCATAAACCAAGTGAGCAAGACGGGAATACCAGAAGCCAATTGCCACCCACATCGGCTAGTTGCCGCCCAGAGCCGCCCATTCTAGATCTGCCATGGTTGGTCCTACACCAGCTGCTGCCCTCCCACTCTCTGCCTGCCCTCTCTCACCCCCCTTTGCCTTCCCTTGCCCCTTGCTCCCACTCCCCATCTCTCCCCCCTGAACCCCTGCCACTCCTGCCACCGCCCCTGCCACCCCTGCCACCCCTCCCCCCCCTCCCGCCCCTCCTCCGACTGCTGCTCCCTCTACTTTCCTGGCACTTTCCGTTATCTTAGCCTTAGCCGCAAACTCCTTCTCAAACTGGCTGAAGTCCACTGGCACAGCAATGGTCGACGGGCCGCGCTGGGGCGCCGCCTGCTCCCCCGACCCCTCAAGCACCGAAAGGTCAAGC